TAATGGTTAAGGAGAAAAATAGAAGAGGTAGATATTACTGGTGCTGTGAATATAGAAAGTTGAAAAAGTGTCCTGGTCATGCAACAACATATTTAATCAAGAACTTGCATTATCTACAAGATGATAGTGGTAAACATAATCACTTGCCTGATGCTAGCCGTTCAGAGATTGTAAAAGCAGTCACTGAAATTAAAAAATGTACCTCAGAAAGTAGAGAAAAGCCTGTATGACTTATTCAAGATTATATGTCCACTATTTCTAATAATGTTCAACCTTTCATGCCATTACAAAATGCTCTTCGTGAAATAATTGTTCGTTCTAGAAAAACTGAACAATTACCACAATTACAAGATATTTTAGATCTTATTATTCCGTTCAATCTTTGTAATACTTTGAATAGAGATCTTTTCTTAATAAAAGACCACATAGTTGGTCAAAGCAGAACTCTTATATTTTCTACAAATACAAATATTGAATATTTATCCAAAGCCCTTTTTTGGATTATGGATGATACATTCAAAACAGTTCCAACTGTTTTTTATCAACTTTATACTATCTATGCACCAGTCAGACCAGAAGAAAATTATAGGATTTTGCCATTAGTATATGCCTTTATAACAAATAAATCTGAAGAAACTTATAGGTTAGTACTAGAATTTTTAAGTTAAAAAAATTTTTATTAATTACCATTATATTATTTTATTAATTTATATATATTTTTATACTTATTATATAATTTTAGATATGATTTTGGTTTAAAATACTACTATAGTCTATATGTAGGATGATCTTAACTATTAATATTGCCCAAATTATTTGGGTCATCCCAAACCTATGTAATAAATAGTTCAGCAATAACAATAAGGCAGAGTGTCCAGACCTGTGCAATTACATTTTAGATACATAAAATGCATGGTAAATTTATCTTTTTTGATGTAACTAGTGCGATATTTGTGCAAAATGCAATATTGCTTAATATTAACATAATAAAAGCCAATGCACATAATATGCAACTTTTTTGAACTTGTAATTATTTATACAATTACGGTGTGCATAGTAATAATTGCTAGTCATTATTATCGCTAATTGTTATTAATCCCTAATTTAATTGCACTGATATCGCATTTTTATATTGCATAAAAATGCCTTTTAATTTCACGAGTCTGGACACTCTACAATAAGGCAATAAATAATATGATATTATTTAATATCGATAGTAAAAATAGAATTTTTATATGTACTGTATATACATATATACATATATAATTATTAACTACGTAAAATAATTCTATTAATAATATAGGCAATTCTTTAGAGATTTATCTGAATTTGCTAATCGAATCGACATTCACTTGGAGCCAAAATAGATAATTACCGATTTCGAAATAGCGGTTATTAAAGCATCACGTTGCGAGTTTCACAATGTAGTGAATAAGGGTTGCTTTTTTCACTTGTGTCAAAGTGGATAGCATAAAATCTAGGAGCATGGATTAGTCACTAGATATAGAAATGATATACACTTTAGCTGCATGATTCGGCATTTATTTGCTTTGGCATTCTTACCTTCAGACCAAATCCCTGATGCTTTCAATACCCTAAAGGTAAGTATATTTCCTGAGGCAAATAGTGTGACTCAGTGGTTCGAAAACAATTATATTAGAGGCCGTTTATTTTAACCAAAACTGTGGTCTGTTTACGAATTGGTAGAGCTAGGCATTCCACGGACGCAAAACTCTGTGGAGGCTTGGCACAATAGATGGAACATTCTAGTTGGAAGATCGCATGTAAGTGTATCTATATTGATAGAAGAACTACAAAAAGAACAACAAAATGTTGAGGCTCAGATTGTGTGCATTCTCCAAGAAGAATCGAGACTCAAACAAAACAAATATTATGTTGAAAAGAAGAAAAGAATTATGACCATTTTTAATGACCGTGAAAATTGGTCAGTTATGGAATATTTGCGTAGTATTGCAGATAATCTTTCTTCGTATCTTTCTTTATAGAACTAAATTATTCTTTATATATATAATATCATTTTA